GGGGGTTCAACAGACGCGAAGATCGCAGTGGTACATCACCTCTCAATAATATTAATTATAATCAGAGGTAAAGAGGCTCAGTTCGGTTTCTTGTAACTAGTTGTAGTGTTAACAAACAAATGTTTATAGTGTTTGTAATAGTAAAATATGTATACTAATCCTAATAATTTTTTTTTAAACTTACAGTTTATTTATTATCTCTATTAAACTATTGTTTAACAATAGTAATATTTTTAATGAGGTTGAAGTATACACATGCTTTTCTGCAAAGCAAGTGCTATGTTTTGAATTTATATATTAATAAGCAAAACCATCATGAATGTTACCATATATATATAGATATATCTTTTTTTTTGTCAATATATATAAATATATGCCTTTTTAGCATTTAAATTTTATTTAAATCTATAGAATAGTTCTGTTGGTTTTATTCGTTTGATGTTTCATTAAGATAGTAATATATTCTAATTAATTTTAAATTATTTAAATTTTATTTGCTTACAAAAACATGAAAGTGCTTTTCTCTTTGGCAATACACACGAAATCTTAATTTGCACTAGTTTTCTTGTTAAATGTTATTTATTTAAGCTGAAATTCATCAGTGGAGGGTAAACTTTTAAATTTACTAATTAAAAGTTTCCACTTCCATGTTCACAACATGAATGTAAGGAGAGATCTAAGTTTCTTCTATGACTTAACAAAACACTATGACTTTCAAACAAATATTCAACTGAAATACTGAACGTGAAAATGATTTCAATCTCAAGTCTCAAGTAACAAAATAGCCAAAAATCTTTAGCAAATCGGGTATTTCAAAATAAATCTACAAAAACTATGTCATTTATTTTTATTAAAAATAGTTCAAAACAATTGATTCAAAATGGAAATGTAATAGAATTCAATATCGATTTCGATAAAATCAAACTTTAGTTAACTCACTAGAGAAAGAAACGAATAAATCACATTCTTACCTCAAAAGGATTTCATTAATAAAAGTGATTCAATTATACACTTATTGAAATGAGAATCATTGAGACGAAAAATAATTGATTAAACCGAAGTATTAATTACACTCAGTGCGGTGTAATGAAGGATTATTTCATTCTTATGGGTGTGTATAGGAGTAAATTATTCAGAAGATATATCAGCTGAATTGTGCACGTTCGCGTTGAATTCATTTATGAGAATATTAATCTTATATATGAGAATACATAATTTATATCGATTTTATGTCGTGGGAAAATTAAAGGCGACACATAAATTAATTGTATATTTTAATCCAAATGCCACATACCTAAATAATACTTTAGTATACCTGCATATATATCACTGGAATACATTTGCATTGTTATTTAAAGATCAACAGATATTTAAATTGTGACATTTGCTTCTAAATTTTCAATTCATTTAAGCAAATATTAATTAGTTTGAAATTTGTATTTTTGGTATAAATATTATTTTACAAAACATTTAACAAGTTTTTTGATTTTCATCGGCTTTAGGTAATTTATTTAATACATAAAAATAATTATTTTTTTTAAATAATGCCTTGTTTGCTTAAGTGCACTGAAGATGGTTTACGAAGCAGACCGGAATATCTGTATTAAAAATATTCTTTTAAAAATATAATAAAAATTTTAACAGAAATTAATAAGTGTAATTTTTTATCTTTTTTGTGTATTAAACAAACCACCTAAGTCCGGTGAAAATCAAAAAACTTATTAATAAATTAGTCATAACATTTAACTTTATTGCATATCTTAAAATATAACTCAAATATAATCAAAACAAATTTTAATTTATTCGTTTGTGTCACATTAACTATATAATTCCCCGATCATATTCAGTACGAGATATTTTTTTCTTTATATATTCTTTTTGTATATATATGAACATATATATATCTATATAATGTTCTAGAACGAAATATATAATACATGTTGATAAATAATTGTAGTGCTCTTTGAGTAACGCCCGACGCCCATCGATTAGATTAAATGATTGATCAGGAATTTTAAAAATAAAGTGTAAATATATTTCAACAGGACCTTCTTAAAGTTAGACTAGAAAATTACAGTGCTTCCTAAAAGGTTACAAAGTATTAATAAAAGTACGAAACATATATACATGAACGACATTGACAATTGTGATACAATATGCTCTTTGGTCATGACTAAACTGAACATAAAATTACCGTCAGCACTTGTCATTTGATTGACTGTATGTAAAAAATTGCCTTGTAGTCACTGGCTATTATATGACTGAATGTGTGTAAAACAAGGCCTGACAGTTACTGGCTGTTGTAGTCCATGCAATTGGACTATAGTGGGAATATTGAACGAGTGTATATTTATCGTTCGTTGGATTTAAGAGGAACAACATAAATTGGTCATTATAAATACTTAAAACACGCAATAAATTTAGTCTGTCATTACTAAAAAATATCTATATTTTATATATAGATATCTAATTTATCTATAACTATGAAAGATACTCAAAGGGGCCACAAAATACTCGCAAGATGAGTATATTCCATATACTGATATAAGCTTTTAGGGAACGCCAAAAGCCTTTACGGCTCCTGGAATCAATTGTAATTGAGACGCAACTGGACTCAGCTAAATTTTTTAGTCGACAGCGTATGGGATTTGTAACAGATAAATAAACGTTTGCTTATAATAACTTGATCTCAATTTAATCAAAATAATACTTATTATATAAATTGCAGAATAATATGACAGAGTGTAGTACAATTTTAAAGTATTTACTTTCAATCTGAAAATTTTAAAATAAGGCGAAAATGGCAGTATACTTTTCTATTCATTTTTGCACATTTTTCAGGGGCAACAGATATCTGTACGAGTGCTTGAAATTATTTTAATTTAAAGTAAATATATAAATTATATATGAATTACTATTTTCATATTTTTAAACTTGCCATTTAACAGCTCAGTTCGCCTATGTCCTTTTGATGACCACGATTTTGAAATTTGTTAATTGCAATGTTGACTGATTTACTTCAATAAATAACATATTTAGTTGCTTCTTTTTGCAAAGTGTTATCATTTCTTCTCTTTTTCATATCATTAAAGTTACTTTCAACTCATTCCAGTAAGTTACTAATGATTGAGAAACTTTGCTTATCAGATCAATAATCGCCATAAAAAAAAATAATAATTAATTTGGTGCACTCATCAAACAGCAGTCACATTTGCTTTATTTCTTTACAAAACATTGCCAGCCGTAATAATTTTAAGATATTTTTACAATCGATCATCTGATTTTAAAAGTGAATTAGTGGTGACGTAAGAAACAGCTGATCTTATTTATTTTTGTTTTGAAAATAATACATAAACCTATTAATGTCGCTACTAGGAATTTGAATCTTGAAAGTATTTCCAGTACCGTGTGTATCGTCATAAAATTAAAAATTAATCAATATTTGATTTGTGTGATCACTAAAAGCGATAGAATTATATAGATACAGACTGTTTGCGAGTACAAAAAAAAAATTTGTTTGCTCGTTTGTATGTGTGTCAAACTACACAAAGCTAGAAAAATAAAAATACTGTACTTTCCTTTATCAGAAAAGGATTTCAAGTAATCATAATCACTAATAAGGGTGATTTACCAAACAAAAATCATTTATACAAGTGAGCTTATTATCAATAAATCAGCATTTATATTGTCAAATATATTGTAAATTTCCCACAAGGGAAATTATCAAAAGTTGAAATATTTGTATATATATCATTTGAAAAATGTAAACAAACAATAGCTGAGCTATAAACGAAGGCACTGGGGAAGTAAGTATTTAATAAAATCTTTCTTGTTATTAATAAAATATATAACCTTATATAATCTGATATAAATATAACTTTTGACTTTTTTCTTCTTGTTCTTGTACCTGCGCGCTTATATGGAAATGTGTAATATATATTTTTGCTTTAGTTTATGAGAATTATTTGCAATATCGCTTCACAAGGGCGAAAGTGAATCTAAAGGGTATAAAATAAGGGGTATTCAAGATCTCTGTGCTTTGTTAAATGTGCATCATTGCAAACTCAAATAAACGTGAATGCCTTAACATATGTGCATATTAGTCTTGCATATATTTAAAACAGCTGACTTTTGTTTTTGTATATATTTACTTTAAAAATATCATTCAGATTCGATATGCATAATTTTAACGATGCCAAGAATAAGTGAAAAGCATTCGAATACTGTGCTGGATTTTGCTGTTGCAGAATTAATGGGTAATTTAGATTTGTGCATTTATATGTATAAAATAAATATATATTAGGCCTTTTCGGTGGCTCACAGGTACGGCAAAAAACAGTAAGTTGCTGCCCTAAACTGGACGAAATGTATGCAAAACAACAACACGATATTCTCTACCTCGGTCAGCATAGGTATACAACATCACTATTTTCTCTACCTCGGCCAATATAGGTAACATATACAACAACACTATTTTCTCTACCTCGACCGGTATAGGTATACTGGTCAGTATAATAAAGTGTTACCAACCAACGCAGTAAGCGAACTATTGTGAACCTTCATTAGGAATTAAAACAAATATTGCAATCATATGCCATATTGCAATCAATATAAATTCAAAAATTTCATAAATTTGAATAATGTTTTATTTTGAAATTTTCAATATTTTTCCCATTCCTCTTAATTTTGTATTAATTTTAATTTTCAATCTATGTTAATTATGGCATATTGCCTTGAAAATCAATTACAGAATCAAAGGAAAGGGAATTATTTTTGTAAAGTAAATACTTTTGCAGAGATTTTGAATACCCCTATAATTATCTTTACTTTCCTCTAGCAATATGTTACGAAATTAAACTAGTTGGCAACACAAATCAATGTTTTTTTAATCAAATTTATCTGGCAACGCCATCTAAACTATTTTAAGGTTTGAAACAACGAGTCATTAGTACAGAAAACTTTATAAAGTGAGCAACGTAATACTTATATTAAATATTATCATGACTGAGGAATATGAACCCGAAGCTGTTTTTCCAGATGATCAATATGCAGGATGTGTTTTTGTATGTAAAGATCCGCTACCAGAGGATGACAACAAGGTAATCAGAGAATATTTTATGGATAAATATTATCGTAGATGGTTGCGAATGACGTGCATTCATAAGAAAGAGCGTCTGATGGAACATAAATGGATTAATTACATTACAAAAGAATCTGCCGCACATATGTTTGTAAGATTGGATACTGGAGAACTTGTAAGTCCATGGTAAGTGTAAAAAATTTGAATTTAGAAAAAACAAAATCTAAAACATATTGTTAGCAGTTTTAGAGTTTGTCAGTAAGTTGACAAGAAAATAATTTATTCGCATTTAAGTTTTATTAAGAATTATATATAATTAGCATTTGGATTTCATTTACTACGTGTTTTTAGTTTTATTTTACATATTACTAAAATTGTGTAAATATATTTTGCTCTGAAGGTTCTATTTGTGTTTTTTTGAACACGTTATCAAGTTATGGTCACGTTTATTAAGAATTGTCTATTAAGAATTGTTCTATTGTTCTGTTATATCGATATACGCCGAGGCATCATAAGCCATCAATATTTCTACAACGTTTTCGGTACAATGATTGGATATAGTAAGTCGAACAAAAAGTGTTCTAGTTTTGTTGATTTTTTGTCAAAACTTTCTTTTCATCTCTCTTATCAAAAGCAAATTCTATTTGTCCTACTAATATAATTCTTTTTGGTTCTGTCTTGAATTTTTAAGTTGTATGCTATTATTTTTTAACATATTAGACTCATCTTGAAGTTTTCATGGCTGATTTGTAGGTTGCAAAGGGTGTTTTCAATAGAAGGGTTTCTATTATTCGAAGTTTTAAAACCACATTCCTCGCAGGACAGTCGTTGGATATTGTTATAATACTCTTCGGTTCTTTCAATTAGCCTTTTGTTTTTATTGATGAGAAATACAGCATATGGGCAATAATTACATCTCTAAAAGCCTATTTGTTCCGAAAATTAAGTTTGGCTATTCAGAGAGTAAATGTCTTGTTTCTTTTTCTTCTAATTTTACGATTTCTACAATGATTACAATAAGGAGTGCATAACGTTTTTGAGTAGATTGTTATACACCTATGGCTCTTGAAATAACTGCAATGATAATATTGTGTTGGTTCCTTTCAACGACATTGCAGTATGTATTATCGTTTGGATAAAAATATCTAAAATCGTCCGTAGTATTACTTATATTGTAACCGACACCCACAAGTTCTTATAATGCCCTTGCTTATATAGTATATAGTATACGTCACGTTATTTCAAATACCACATATACCAAGAAAAGTTTCTTAAGCGCGACTACACATCAAGAATTTTTATCGTGTTATTTTGTAGTATATTTGTTGTTTTTTTCTAGGGCGTGTTTAAGAAATTGTCGACTAGTTTGATGTGTAATAGCAAGCGACGACAACGATTTTTGATAACAATTGTTGATGTGTAATGAACGCTTTAGGGATATAATTGTCGCCTATAACACAGCTTTCCTTGTCTTAGGTAAGGGTTAACTCGAAAACCATGCTATTTTATACTTAGTTCTTTCATCCCTGTTTCTCGGAAAGAGTGTTTAACCTTTTCAATCGTAAATTACGGTCAAATACAACTGTTGATTGTATATATTTTTATATCTTTTGTATTATATATTTTTTTATATTTTATATTATATAAAATCCCAGTAAATTTCGAATTGCTTCAGTTGTTCATCTGCATAATTTGTTGGTGTGTTTATAATATCTGTATATATTTTTTGATGTTAATTATTATACTTATAGGCTAACTGATAATTGAAGTTTATTTTATATATCTGTATTATTTTCTTGGTGAGGGCAAATGCTTAGTTCTCAATCTTTATCTTTGCTGTTCTCCTTATTAACTCAGACAATTTTGTCTGCTGGCTTATTTTACTTCTTGTTTAACGCTGTTTTGTATCTTGAATTACTCTCGGACATTCATTTTTAAAGCGCAGTACCTGTAGTCGGTAGGTTAAAAGCCAATAACGGATATATAAATCTTTCGTCCTGCAGGTATAAATTTATTTCAAATTTTTTTTTTGTGACTGTTTTAGGTAAATAATAACTATTCAACTCATGAGTTCTTAAATTCTGAGCCTCAATTTAGAATGTTATTTTTATATTTCCGATGCTTTTATATAAAAATATAATAATTAATTATAAAAAATTAATTATTGCAGTATAAACCTATTATTTGTAAAAAAAAATATTTGTTTTATTAAAGTAGAGACCATAAACTTATTTTAATAGCAAATCTTAAATGTAAATAAATTCCCCTAAACAAAATATTAAAATTTTATTCTGTATTCAATCTTAATATTAATTTGCAAAAATCAATAAATTTGATATTTTAAAACCTTTATGCCCCAAAAGTTGTAAGTCGTTAACCTACTTTAATATTGTAGTTTAAATATTTGGAAGTATCATTAACTTGATGAAATAAAAGCTACTGAATTAAGCTTATTACGAAGGCAAAATACCTCCTAATCCTTTGGCAAACTAAATAAAACAGTATAATTTGAGGGCATTTTATTTAGCTTTGAAGAAAGTAATTTGATCAAATCCGAAGTAAGGTTCATTAACCAAAAGATTTTCTATCAGCAGACATAAAATGATTAGAAAATATTTTAATAATAAATCCGTAACGTGAAACTTTATTTAAGTTTAAAATTAGGAAAGTTGAATTTGAATAAAATTATTTAAATTATAGACTTAAATTTTTCCAAATATTAATATTATATAAAAGAAGGTACAGTTATACATATATAATATTATATTAATTTTAATTATTAATTTAGTTTAAGTGTTAAGAGTGACAACCACAAAACGTTATGTTAACATATCTTCTTCTTCTTAGTTGGCCATTACAGACGTGTGTCGTCCTTGGCCGCGTCGAGTAGCCTCCGCCAGTCAGCCCGATTAGTTGCCTTCTGACGCCAGTTGGTAGTACCGAGCGCCCCCAAATCGTTGGTCACCTGGTCCTTCCACCGTAGATGCGGACGTCCTCTACCGCGTTTTCCACCTGCGGGTATCGAATCAAATACCTTTCTAGCCGGAGCACTTTCTTCCATTCGAACGACATGACCAAGCCAGCGTAGCCGCTGAATTTTTATGCGCTTAACTATGTCAATGTCGCGGTATAGCTCATACAGCTCATCGTTCCATCTAATTCGATACTCGTCGCCAACGCGTAAGGGACCATAGATCTTCCGAAGAATTTTTCTCTCGAATGCACCTAACGCCTTCTCATCACTGTTGGTAATTGTCCAAGCTTCTGCACCATACAGCAAGACAGCCATGATAAGGGATTTGTAGAGCGTGATTTTTGTTTGTCGAGAGAGGGCTTTATTTCTCAATTGCTTACTTAGCCCGAAGTAACATTTGTTGGCAAGAGTAATTCTTCGTTGAATCTCTAGGCTGACGTCATTTTTGGTGTTTAAGCTGGTTCCTAAACAAAGTCTTTCACAACTTCGAACTTATAATTGTCAACAGTGACGTAGGTCCCAAGACGCTCCGGAGATTTGTTTGTTGACAGAAAGTACTTTGTTTTATCCTCATTTACCACAATACCCATTTGCTTTGCTTGTTTTTCTAAGTTGGAAAATGCCGCACTGACGACGCGTGTGTTCAGACCAATGATATCAATATCGTCGGCATACGCAAGCAGCATTACACTTTTGTAGAATATTGTGCCAGTACGGTTTAAATCTACTGCTCGAATTATCGTTTCCAACATTAGGTTAAAGTAGTCACACGACACGGAGTCACCCTGTCTGAAACCTCGTTTGGTATCAAACGGCTCAGAGAGGTTCTTTCCAATTCTAACGGAGCTGGTGGTGTTGCTCAACGTCATTTTACATAGCCGTATAAGTTTTGCTGGGATACCAAATTC